CTCATATAAAAATGCCTTTAAGTTATCATAACCTGGACAATTGGCACATCTATAAACCATGCGTTTATTATTGCTAGTATCACATACTAATTTTGACATTAAATCTTTGTATGTAACATTCTATTGGATAGCATTTACAGGCAATATTAAGTTTTGATGGTAAATACAAACACAAACATAGTGTGCACCATTTGGTCCCACACTAATACACCATTTTGTATGTAAACTTTAAAACTTTGAAAATCCAATTTTAAAATTAGAGTATTTACTTTTAAAATCAATATAAAGCTCATGAAGGTTGCACAACAATAATCTTTTTTGTTGTGGAGGACCACTTTTAACCTTATCACAATTTTTTTTACCAGGCATAATTCTAGAATGTTTATCTTGTTTAAAAAAATCTTGAACCAAAGCTGTAAGAAAGTCAGGTATTTTTTGGCCTATTTTTTTATCAGGTATAGAAAGAATCTCATTTTCACTTTTATGTTTCCTTACACGTTGTACAGGATGCTTAGAAACATCAAAATATTCTGAAGCGTATTTTCTAGACCAAGATTCAGGTTTAAGTGTTAATATTTAAATTTTTTTATTAAATGGTTCAATTTTAAGTTTTTATTTCATTAAAGTTGTTAAATGATCAAGATTATTTGCTTTTTTTTTCAATCTGTAGGTGACTTTTTTTTAATCTGTAGGTGTAGGTCTTTTTTTTAATCTGTAGGTGACTTTTTTTTAATCTGTAGGTTTTTTTTTAATCTGTAGATGACTGGAAAAAATTGAGGCTACACTTAAGTTATCTATATTTACTCCATAAGATTTACCATTAACAAATGATACATCATCATTAATTTCACACTCTATTTTATTATCAGAAACTTCATCACAATTTGACAAAAACTGAATATATGAGCGACAAAATTTCCATCCTGGTTTACAGTTGAGATTTTTGAATTTAAGGTTGAGCCATTTCAAGAGATATGGTTGTTTGACTTAAAATTTCTATAGTAATTCAATGATTTAATTATTTCATTTGTTTATCTTACTAAGAAGAATTGCTTCAAATATGTTAAATTTTTTTAAACTACGCGAAGCATAAAATAGGTATTAAAAAAATTAACTTTTTTATTTAAAAAATAATTTAGCTTAAAAAAAACTAAGACTTGCAAACTTTGTTAAATAAAGAATATTTGTTTTCTTTTTAAACGATCATAAGATGCGGTAGTGGTGTAGTGGTAGAGCGCTCGCTTCATAAACGAGTGGTTCCGAGTTCGATCCCCACCACGTCCCTGGTAGTACCACGCTCAACTCGTTTCTCCGCGCAGCGGCCTTGTTCGTCAAGGTTCGTGTTTCGCAGTTATAGAGTTGAGAGAGGGCTATAGCCACAAAATAAGTAGCCTCCTCGTCTGTAGTGGCCTTCTCGGACTTGAGGAGGTGAAGTAAAATTAAAAAAATAAAAAAAAAGATGTTACTTTACATAAAAAACTTTATGCAATAAAACAGTGAGAAAAAAATTAGGTTGAAGTCGAATTATTTATAAAAATTCTTACTCATAAAAATAGCAATACTATGCAACAGATATTAAAAATTTTATACTAACTTTTAGTATAGCATGTAAAGGGCAAAGTGACAGTTGACAAATAGTAAACTGCACTTGAGAAACAATAATAGTGCAATTGGGTAATTAATTTAAAGCCTTGGCTAGATTTTTGATAATAAGAAAGGTCTTCAATAAAATTTGGAAATTCCCTTATTACATATGATAGGAAAATTGTCTGTGTGACAGACATATTATCACACTGAATATATATTAAAATATATATTAAGTTTTAAAATGCAACTAACTGCTTATATTTTGCCCACTATTTGCAAACAAAAGTTAACTTGAATTTAAAAGAATTCAAAAACTAGAAACATCTTAAAATAACTTGTGTCTAACTCACATTTTCATAAGCTCATAGTTTAAAAAATAAGTTTTGAAGCTAAGCTTGTTATTAATTAATTCATTATTCAACCTTATATTTGCACACACATCATTTTTACATTTTTTTTGACTACCTAATCACAACAACTTTGTGAAAAGAATTAAAAGACCATCTGCTTTTACCATCTGCTGTCTTCATTTAAGAAATATCTATGATAACTTCATAATATCTTCATAATAAAATCAATGCTTCATAATAAAATGAAGCACTGATTTTATTATGTTAATAAGTATTGTAAACCATCACATGTTATAGGTTTATAATAACTTGTTAACATTTTTTTACATTTTTTTGAAATACTGACACGTTGATTACAAAATGTTACGTTTTTTTGGTTTGTTTTTATATTTATTTAAAATATCTCCCAAGGAATCTATAGAGGCCCCTACAATCAAGGAAGCTATTTGATTTTTTTTAAAATTTTGAACACTCTCTCAACTCTGAAACAATCCTTGTTAAACAAGAATGCTGCACAGAGAAACAGGTTGATCACCAGTACCTCCAGAAGCGTAAGGTGGATTTGAACCTCAAAATTTTAATTGTGAGCAAAGTCTTTTTACTACTACCACACTATCCCATTTTAAATCTGTGTTTAAAGGATAAGTAAGATTGGTAAATAAAATCAAACTCATTATACAAAAACCATACTGTTTACTATTAAGCAAAACAATACAGTTACTACACATGAATACTATTGGATAATACAACT